GAGAACACATGTTAGAGAATTCAGTTTACGCTCTTGAAGAGGTAACATCAAGTGTGATATAAAATATATATAACCAATCAAAGTTTGTATAACTATAATAAATAAAGTTTTGGAGCAACTATTGTATATGTATTGGTAATCCTAACTGGCAAACACAAACCTGTATGGCACGACATTTGGCGACCCCGGCAGGATTGCCAATGAAGGAAACTTTGTTGCTGATTTTGGTCGTGGTTCTCGGAAGTAACGCGCAGAAGTGTTCCAGCGAAGGGAAGCAGACTGATGGTTTCCGATGACAGAAACGGGGGTAAAGATTAGCACAATTAGCCTTCTCAGTAATGCAATAGATTAACAATTTTTGGTTAGAAGAAAAATTATATTAAATAATTAAGCGTGTTCTAAACGAAGATAAATTATAACATGTATTTATCTCGGCGGGCAGACTGAGTGCGAGTCTCAATCCAGAAGGCATTCGCCCCCCGAAAACATTGGCGGGTCTGAGGGCATGCTGCCCCAGAAAACATTGCTGCCCCAGAAAGCATTTCGTTATTCTGGTCCACATTTGTGGAATTCATTACCAAATTATCTTACTGAAATTTATTCCATATTTCAATTTAAAAACAAATTTAAGTACTATTTAAGAAATGTAGCTGCTAACTGAATTAACTTTTTCTTTTATTTAATTGCTTTTATTAGTTTCAACATATTTCTACCACTGCGTTCTTCGATTACATATAGATATTTTGATAAGTACGCCTTGAACAAAATACGGGTTACTATTCTCGACAAGCTCTTATGAGCCGTTAATAATGATCTCCTCCTCATATCTACATAACTTAATTTGATAATATTGTCCTTTTGTATTTGTAAATATTGTAAAGTAGAATGTGCGGAAATTAAATTATTATTATTATTAGGTGTAACAAGGCGTATTATAATGATGAATATCACTGGTGGCGAAAATAACTTAATGCTAGTCAAGAATCTAACCAATTTCGCCAACGGTTTAAGAACTATTTATCTTGATTTTTGATAGCTTTGAAATATTATGTTTCCCTGCTATTTTAAAACTATTATTCGCTACAAATGTCTAAAGCAGGTGAAAAACGCCATTGAACTATAAATATTAAAACCCAACGAATTGTATAAAAAACATGTATTTAAATTATTTGTAATACAAAAAACGCAATATTAAAGGTACACAATGTCAATGCCACGCATATTTTCGCTTGATGATTGCCAAATAAAATTCGGAGGGTAAAGGAAATTTTTCCTTTTTACAGAAGATGGCTTTACTACATTCTTGTCATGCACATGAATGAAGAAAAAACAGAGATGGAAAAAATTCGGGGTTACCGGTCCTTGTTTTCCAACGATACAAAGCATTATTCCATTAGAGAATTATCGGTATTAATTTTGTTTCGCATTGGTTGTCATAACAACTGACTAAATGTTACAAAAATATTAAGATTGTCATTTGTCAAAACTTGAAAACGTTTTAAACTTTGTGTTTTGCCAAAATACACAGTTGGTTAACGACACTTGCAGTTCCAACATGGGTCGTGACTTTAGTTTTCGACTCTTATATCGAGTCGCTTTCTTTTCCTTCTGTCTGATTTTCACCTGTTTTTATCATGGTGGTGGTTCAGTGTATGACAGGCGAGAAGATAAAACAGAACCGAACAAATTAAAAGATGAATTTAAAGGTAAACCCGTGAATGTTGACATTTCTCTCGAACAAGACGAACGCGTCTCTAACTTGACAGAAAATTCGAAACAAATTGATGGCCGCAAGGCGCGGAAGAAAACTGATCTTTCAAAAATGGCTAGAAAAGGTAAATTTTGAAAATGTGAGAATGTTCGCACTGATTCTTAACCATAATCTATTTTTAGGAACCGCGATGAAAACACTCCGGAGTGATAGAATACGGAAAAGCCCAGAACTGCATTTTTCAAATCCTTCGTCGCCTGAGGTAAACGCTCCAAGCAAAGAACCGACAACCATCTCCCATTCGAGTGAGACAAAATGGCAAAATAATGGCGTCATGAAAAACATATCTTCATTGGAAAATCAACTTTTTCACCAGAATCACTTGACAGACACAGCCAAAAGAGAAACGTTCGCTTCACTCACAACTCAACATCTACGGAGCAGACGTGAAATTGATGCGATCTTGGAAAGTCCGACCGAATGCGCCAATTTTACCTTTACTATAAAGTACGAAGATAACTACAGAGCTTGGAACAACTTTTCAATGATGCACCAAAGGCGAATGTACCGTTATAACGAGTACAGAGTAACGGACGATGGTCTACAAGTTTGTAACTCTTCTGACCCCCTTGTTGAACAAAGATGGCGGGATTTAATTACTCTCGAAAAGAATATGTTAGCATCTAAACATTGTAATGTATCTGTGTACGCGTTTTACTACTCCAATTACACATTATACAGAAATTTTACTGTTTTCTTCATACCCACTGGGCAGAGTCTCGCAAGGCAAGATTACGGAGTATTTTGCAATTTGTTCGGCAAAGCTAAGTCTGTCCTGCAATGATTATTTGGTTAAAGTGAAATACGGCGATCAGTACGACGTTTCGCAAAACTTTTCGCTGTTTACAAACAACAAGATGTACGATTATCGTGAATATCAAGTCGGAAACGAAGGTCTTGAAATGTGTGCTTCCAATGATTCAAGAATTCGGGCAATTTGGAGAACTCGAAATTCCTGGGAAAAGTTTAAAGACCGGTATAAATGCCACGGACCTGTTACAAAAATATATGCATGGTACTACACTGTGAATAAACAGTTCAGTGTCTATCTCGCACCTAGGAGTCAATATTTCACAAGAAATGACTATGGCGTGAAAGACGGTAAACCTTATATATGCGAAGAAAAGTTGAGACCCACGTCAACAGAGTATACCCAGGAAGATCTATTAATGTGCAACGATTCAATCATCAATATAAAATACGATGACGAATACAAAGTTCAGACTGACTTTTCAATACTCTATAAGTACAAGGTGTACGATTATACTGAGTACCGAGTTCTGAATGATATCATAAAGATTTGCAACTCCACCGATAAATACGTAAGGAATATTTGGAAAGTACGTAATAAATGGGGAAAGGGACAAATGCATTATTATAAAAGTTGCAGTAAATCCATTGGAACCGATTGGTTTTACCTAAAGTACTACACTGTCAATGAGCAGTTCACTGTCTATGACGCATCTGCGAGTCAATATTTCACAAGAAATAGCTATGGGGTCGAAGACGGTAGACCTTATATATGCGATGAAAAATTCAGACCCGAATCAACAGAGTATACCCAGGAAGATCTATTAATGTGCAACGATTCAATCATCAATATAAAATACGATAATGAATACAAAGTTCGGACTGACTTTTCAATACTCTACAAGAAGAAGATATACGATTATACTGAGTATCGAGTTCTCAATGATAGCATAAAGATTTGTAACTCCACTGAAAACTACGTACTGAATATTTGGAAAGTACGCAATAAGTGGGTAAAGATGACAATGCATGAAAAAAGTTGCAACAAACCCATTAGAACCTTTTGGTTGTACCGAAAGTACTACACTGTGAATAAGCAGTTGACTGTCTATGACGCACCTGGGAGTCAATATTTCACAAGAAATAGCTATGGGCTGGACGACGGTAGACCTTACATATGCGATGAAAATTTCAGACCCGAATCAACAGAGTATACCCAGAAAGATCTATTAATGTGCAACAATTCAATCATCAATATAAAATACGATGATGAATACAAAGTTCGGAATGGCTTTTCAATACTCTATATGAACAACGTGTATGATTATACTGAGCATCGAGTTCTGAATGATAGCATAAAGATTTGTAACTCCACTGAAAACTACGTAAAGAATATTTGGAAAGTACGCAATAAGTGGGTAAAGTTGACAATGCATGACAAAAATTGCAATAAACCCATCAGAACCTTTTGGTTGCACCGAAAGTATTACACTGTGAATAAGCAGTTCACTGTCTATCTCGCACCTAGGAGTCAATATTTCACAAGAAACGACTATGGGGTGCAAGACGATAATCCTTATATATGCAGAGAAAAGTTCAAACCCACATCGACCGAGTATACCCAGGACGATCTATTAATGTGCAACGATTCTATCATCAATATAAAATATGATGATGAATACAAAGTCCGAACTGACTTTTCAATATTCTATAAGAACAAGGTGTACAATTATACTGAGTATCGAGTTCTGAATGATAGCATAAAGATTTGTAATTCCACTGAAAACTACGTAAAAGACATTTGGAAAGTACGCAATAAGTGGGTGAAGGAAAAAATTCATGAGAAAAGTTGCAATAAACCCATTAGAACCTTTTGGTTGTACCGAAAGTATTACACTGTGAATAAGCAGTTCACTGTCTATGACGCACCTAGGAGTCAGTATTTCACAAGAAATGACTATGGGGTGGAAGACGGTAAACCTTATACATGCAAAGAAAAGGTCAGACCCACACCAACAAAGTATACCCAGGAAGGTATACTAATGTGCAACGATTCAATGATCAATATGAAAAACGATGAATACAAAGTATGGGATAACTTTTCAATACTCTATAAGAACAAGGTGTACGATTATACTGAGTATCGAGTTCTGAATGATGGCATAAAGATTTGCAACTCCACTGATAACTACCTACGGAATATTTGGAAAGTACGCAATAAATGGGTGAAGGAGAAAATGCATGAAAAAAGTTGCAACAAATCCAAATTTTTTTTGATCTATCGAGAGAATTACGCTGTGAATGAGCAGTTCACTGTTTATTTGGGAGATCGTGGTCAATATGTCACAATAAATGATTACGGGGTTAAATACGGTAAACCTAAAATATGCAAAGAAAAGTTAAGACCCGCATCAACAGAGTATACCCAGGAAGGTCTATTAATGTGCAACGATTCAATCATCAGTATAAAATACGATGATGAATACAAAATTCGGACTGACTTTTCAATACTCTATAAAAACAAAGTGTACGATTATACTGAGTATCGAGTTCTCAATGATAGCATAAAGATTTGTAACTCCACAAATAACTACGTCGGGAATATTTGGAAAGTACGCAATAAATGGGTGAAGGAGAAAATGCATGAAAAAAGTTGCAACAAATCCAAATTCTTTTTGATCTATCGAGAGAATTACGCTGTGAATGAACAGTTCACTGTTTATTTGGGAGATCGTGGTCAATATGTCACAATAAATGATTACGGGGTTAAAGACGGTAAACCTAAAATATGCAAAGAAAAGTTAAGACCCGCATCAACAGAGTATACCCAGGAAGGTCTATTAATGTGCAACGATTCAATCATCAGTATAAAATACGATGATGAATACAAAATTCGGACTGACTTTTCAATACTCTATAAAAACAAAGTGTACGATTATACTGAGTATCGAGTTCTCAATGATAGCATAAAGATTTGTAACTCCACAAATAACTACGTCGGGAATATTTGGAAAGTACGCAATAAATGGGTAAAAGCGAGAATGCATGAAAAAAGTTGCAATAAACCCATTAGAACCTTTCGGTTGCACCGAAAGTATTACACTGTGAATAAGCAGTTCACTGTCTATGACGCACCTTCCGAGCTTCGCACGCAGAATGATGAGCTGAGAAGCAGAGCCGACAAGTTGGAGTATCAAGCCACTACTAATATGAATGATCTCGAATACCAAAGGCAGT